GATAGAAATATATTTGTCCATTGCAAGGTAGTTTCTTGAGACACAATTATTTGATAAGTAATTATTCTTAGAATGCATCATCCTTTTTATTAAATTTTTTTTTTGTTTTGTCCCCAATGATAGCAAAAAGTGCAATATGCATGGATTTGGACTCTCTCTTTTAGAAAAAGTAATAGAGGGACCCTTGCTTTTGATCACGATTGTTGATTATTTAGTAGGTGATTGTGATTTATTCTAAATTTAACATTCATCATACTCCTAAGTATTGCGCTCATTCCTAGTTTACACTAAAAAAATCATGATTATCCATTAGATTATCAATGATTGCGAAAATATAGTGTCCCTCCACTTTTTCTTTTTTATAGTGGAGAGAACCCAAATCCAATAAGCATAGGGGAATACACGACGTGTAAGACACCAGCGACCACCACATTGTGATATCAATGGATCCATAACATAGCTGGAATTTCAAGATAAGCTTCAGAGCGAAAAACCTTAACAAATTGATTGTGAACACATAAATGATGAGTTGTACAAGAAGTTGAAGGAATTAAGGGATTTAATTAGCTGAATTCAGGTTTGTATATTAGTCTTGCTTTCCTTTTTCTGTTTCAATATTTCTTTGCTAAATGCTGTCTAAACGATATAGTCTTTTTCTTTGGTCCGTTCAGATTTAACTAAGTATCCTTTGTGAGAGTGGGGGCCACGAAAGTGAACGCGTGAACCTTTCCGCGTGTGCCAACCGCCCACACCTGAATGTCAATTTGCAGGCCCACCCGAATGGGAATTTTCAGCTATATATATACCTAGTTTTTCTAGAGTTTAATGTGTGCAATTGAGGGTGTGTGGCTGCAGAAAGGAATTGTGCATGAGCTTTTTCGGCTGTGATTTTTTTTCGGCAGAAGAAAATTGACAGCGTCAGTGTTCAGGCGAGAAAGCAAGAGAAAAACCGGCGGTTTGCTGCTGTGCTTGGTGAAGAAAGACAGTGGCCATCTAAGAGGGTTTTTTGTTTCCTTTTGAGAGAGATATTTGTGTGAGGGATTTGAGAGATTGTGTGAGGGTTTAGATTGAGTGATTGTAAACCCTAATTGTTTTCTTTCCCTCTAATAGTAGATCTCCCCCTCCTTGCCCCGTGGACATAGGCAGTTTGCCGAACCACGTAAAATTAGTTTGTTTGTATTTGTGACCATTGTAATAGTTTATTAGGGTCCATCGACAAGTCAGTCCTAGAACTGATGAAAGGAAGAGCCGATATCTCACTTTGTTAAGATATTCGCTTCAGATTCTTGTTTCCTTAGTGAGACGTGAATTATTATTGTCTTTCTCTCTTATTGTGCATCAGAAACTCTGCCGAAATTTCCGCTACGTACAACAAGTGGTATCAGAGCTCGGGCTATGCTTGGGCTATTTAGAGGAGTAGATCGCTTTGGAAGCTCGTCTAGGGCTTTGTTTGGTGATAAAGGTGAGATCTTTTGGTAAAGACTCTATCTTTTCAGTTTTGGATCTATTCTTCGTTCGTTGGTACATTGAGAAAAATGTCGGGGAAAGAAGGTGCTTCGGGTGTTGAGGGTGGTGCTTCTGGCGCGAAGACCATTCAGAGTTTGAATATCCACTCTATGAAGATAGATGTGGAGAAGTTTAATGGCACAAACAATTTTGGATTATGGAGATGAGAGGTTTTGGATGCGCTGAACGCGTAGAATTTGGAGGATACCTTGGAGTTAGATGGCAAGCCAGATAACATTGAAGAGAAGGTTTGGAAGAAGATGAATCGAACGGCGTGTGGTGTGATTAGGTCTTGCTTGACTCAAGATCTAAAATATGATGTGATGAATGAGACTTCTGCAAAGAAGATTTGGGAGATTCTTGAAAGCAAGTATCTGACAAAGAGTGTTAAAAACCGCTTGCATTTGAAGAGGAGACTTTATCGTTTCTAGTTGAAGAAGGGAACCTCAATTAGAGATCACATGAACACCTACACAAAGCTTCTTGCGGATTTGACGAATGTAGATATCATGATTGAAGATGAGGACAAGGCGTTGCTGTTGTTGAGTTCCTTGCCCGACGAGGAATATGAGATATTCGTCCTTACTCTGATTAATGGGAAGGCATCTCTTTCGTATAGTGAGGTCACTGCTGCACTGGTGAATTATCAGCTTCGGAAGAAGGATAAAGAGACTTCGACTGAGTCGGTAGCAGAGGCGTTGGCCGCAAGAGGGAAGGGTCCAAACCGAAAGAATTGGAAGTCACAGTCTAGAGTAAGACATCCTACAATTGGAAAAGATCAGTGTGTTTGGTGTAAGGAGACTAGTCATTAAAAGAAAGATTGTCCAAAGCTCGACGAATGGATGAAGAATAAGCATAAGGGAAAAGGAAAGTAGCCATCATCAGAAGCAAACATCGTTATATCGGATGGTAATAATTCTGACTCTTCTATTTATTCGCTTTCTATCAGTCCTACAGATAGCTATTCGGAGGAATCTGAATGGATGTTGGATAGTGGTGCGACCTATCATGTGTGCCTTAGAAGGGAGTGATTTTCTAGTTTTGAGGAGCTGGATAGTGGTGTGGTGTACATGGCTGATAACCGTGCATGCTAGATCCTTGGGATAGGAAGAATTCGCATCAAGATGTTTGACGGGACTGTTAGGGAGTTATATGATGTGAGATATGTTCATTCTTTGAGGAAGAACTTGATCTCGATTGTAGCTTTGGTTGGAGAGGGTCTGAATGTTCGAATTGAGGATATGGTTCTCAAGATTGTGAAAGACTCTCAGATTGTGATGAAGGGCGTCATGAGGAATAACCTGTATTACTTGACTGGAGGTATAGTGGCAGGTAGAGTTGTGGCGACTTCTATTAATTCGACTAGACTGCGACATTTGGGGCTTGGCCATTCCAGTATTGATTCCTTACATGGATTGAAAGAGGGTGCGAAGACCTGTAGTTTGAAGTCCAGTGAACATGTTGATGTGAGCAAGAAGACCGAGGTGAAGTTTAGCACCTCTATTCACTGTGCTAAGGGTCGTTCTGGAGGAGTTCACATGAATGTTTGTGGGCCTCCCAAGGGGGCATCATTGGGAGGTAATAGGCATTTGGTTTTCTTTGTTGGTGGTTGTTCTAGGCATGTTTGGATTACAACCAAATCCCCTTTGAAGAAAGTCCTAGTAGTATCCAACAGATTACAGAAGTATGTGATAGACAGAAAAGTGAAGGTACTCCATTCTGGTTTTGGCGGGAGGTACAAGATGGATCTATTTCTGTATTAGAACCGAGCTCACGGGATTTGAGACACTTCTTTGGAAAGGAAATCTTGGGGTAACTAGATAGGGTGGCAAATTTGGAGAATCGTGCCTTGCTGGAGGAGGATTGGTATTTGTGATCGAGCAATGGTTTGCAGAAGAGGTTTTGGACTGAGGCTTCGATATATTTGAGTCATCCTATTAAAGAGTTGTCAACTGCTGTGATTGGAGGTAGGCTTCGATATATTTGAGTCATCCTATTAAAGAGTTGTCAACTGCTGTGATTGGAGGTAAAACTCTATTAGAAGATAGGTCTGATTGTGTCACTTTGGATGAGGCTTCGATGAGGAAGCCAATTGACTCTCAGCAGGTGGAGAGTCTTGGACAGACCTTAGTTGTATCGCAGCAGGTGGAGTGTAATGCTACTCCATATTGGGTGAAGATTACTCCAGATTATACTGCATCATTTAGGATTCTAGCTGAGGTGACACAGCTTCAGGATCATTTGGTTTTGGATGCAGATGATGAATTGGTTTTTGATTCGAATGCAGCTGGTAGACGTAGTTTGGACATGGCCATTGGTTCGCCTCAGGTGGAGGTGTTTGAGGCCATTGGATGTGCTATCAGCCGCAGAGTTGATGATATTCGAGAAGTGTTGCGAACTCTTCTAGTGGATTGAGTCCTTTAGAGGCCATTTGGGTGAACTACGTGAAGGCTTAATTCCTTGGGCAAAAGGATACGTAGGCAGTCTTTATGATACAGCCAGGTTGGATTTTGAAGGAGGTGAGATCGATTTGTGACTTGATACCGACATTTGGAGAGTGTTTGCATTCTCATTTGGGTTCTCGACTTGTTGTGGATTGAGTCAGTTGTCGTGAATCGTTTACTTCGTACTGGACACAACAAGTGGGACATTTGGATGCTTTGGTGTCAGCTAAGTTTTGGGAAAAACATCGTCGAGGTGGAGAATTGTGCGAGTGGGGGCCACGAAAGCGCGTGAACCTTTTCGCGTGTGCCAACCGCCCACACCTGAATGTTAATTTGCAGGCCCACCCGAATGAGAATTTTCAGCTATATATATACCTAGTTTTTCTAGTGTTTAATGTGTGCAATTGAGGGTGTGCGGATGCAGAAAGGAATTATGCAGGAGCTTTTTCGGCTGTGATTTTTTCGGCAGAAGAAAATTGACAGTGTTAGTGTTCAGGCGAGAAAGCAAGGGAAAAACCGACGGTTTGCTGTTGTGCTTGGTGAAGAAAGACAGCGACCATCTGAGAGGGTTTTTTGTTTCCTTTTGAGAGAGATATTTGTGTGAGGGATTTGAGAGATTGTGTGAGGGTTTAGATTGAGTGATTGTAAACCCTAGTTGTTTTTTCTCCTCTAATAGTAGATCTCCCCCCTCCTTGCTCCGTGGACGTAGGCAGTTTGCCGAACCACGTAAAATTAGTTTGTTTGTGTTTGTGGCCATTGTAATAGTTTATTAGGGTCTCTCGACAAGTCAGTGCTAGAACTGATGAGAGGAAGAGCCGATATTTCACTTTGTTGAGATATTCGCTTCAGATTCTTGTTTCCTTGGTGAGACGAGAATTCTCATTGATCTTTCTCTCTTATTGTGCACCAGAAACTTTGCCGAAATTTCCGCTGCGCACAACATCCTTTCTAAGATTTGTTCACGATTTAGATCTTCTTAGATTGTGAATATATTTTATTTTCAATAGCAATCTTTAGAAAAATATTTAAACGATTATTTGTACACCCGATTTCTATTGAGAGTTACATTCTGACAGTTGCAACCAAAAGTAGGCATAAAAAGTGAACAAATTAAATATTGTTACCAAGGCCTTTTCTGTAGCTCAGACACTAAAAAAGTACAGAACAAAAAGAGACAATTTGGGTAACTCACGGATTCACGTTCAAAGAAGCTGCTGTCACCTTGCACTCTTCTTCCTCAATTGTGTCACTTATCCCACTCCCCATCGTCTCCGGCAAGCAAGCGGCAAACACCCCGCAGCATCCGATCACCAATCCAAACACTCCGAACGACAAATAGTTCCGCTTCCTCCCTTCAGCAACGAGCAACGGCGCGAAAACGCCACCGAACACGAGCGCCTGTCTCACCATTGACAGCGCCGAGTTCCTCACACAAGTGGGGAACAATTCAATAGTATAAATCATCAGCACGTTGAACACTGCGCAAGTGCAGAAGAAGGAGACTAGTTCCGCCACCATCTGCCATCCGCTGGCGGTCAAGAACGCGCACATGAGGCTGGTTAGGCCACTTGCTGCAGTGAGGACCAGTGTCGAATATCTTCGACTGATTCGGTCGATGAAGAAGAAGGCAAATAAATTTGAGGGAAGTTCAGCTAAGGCGTTGAATGTGACGCTTACGTAGAGATTTGAGCCTAGATTGCCTAGGTTGAGTGGCATACCGTAGTATACTATCCCGATTCCAAAGCCTACTATCATCACGGCGGTTAGCCGCTTGAATGCCCATTTCTTTTCCCATAGTATCTTCAATGCTGAGAATACATCCACGTTCCATTTTTCTTCGACGATGGATAGATTCGAGAAGCTAGTGTTGATGATGCATCCGTTAGATTTTGCTGTGCGCTTCAGTGTGTCGATAGCTTCTTCCTTTCTTCCACGAACAAATAACCATCTCGGAGATTCCTTTGCTAGGAAGTAAACTAAAATGGTGTAGCAAAATGAAGGAGCAGAAGTCCAGAGATATATGTTTCTCCATGAGGAGCCTCTGTTCAAATAAGCGATAGCAGGGAGAGACACGAATCCAACATCAAAGAGAATGAATCCAATTATACTAACCCGATCACGCCATTTTTTCCCAACAATCTCTGTTGACAGCACCATAGCACTTGTACCAACAGTCGCCCGTCCAAGCCCGCAGATGAACCGGAGGGATGAATAGACCCACACATTAGGCGATAAAGCAGCCAAACTGGCAGCCAACGACATAGTGAGACACGAATAGACAAGCATTTTCCTTCGACCGAGTCGAGAATCAGCTAGCGTTGCAAGAAAGAAACCGCCGATGAGACATCCCATAAAGTATGCGGATGCAGGTAAGCCGACGAGCACCGGTGGAGAACACTGAAGGTCCCATTCTGAGACGACGGATGCATACTTAGGTTGGCTCCACGACCACGAGCCTTCGGGCAAGTTGCACGGGCTAATAGCTGACGCGCAGGATGAGTCGTTCTTGTCGGTGCAGTGCCATGAGGGATCTGCGTCAGTGAATACGTTGATGAAAGTTTGCTGTGCGTCAAAAACCCATGCCATCACGACGAGGATTGCCTGTAAAAGTTGACAGTAGCCTGTAGAGCCGATGCAGCTCTCGATGGCATCGTCGATGGAGGATGGTTTCTTCTCTAGTAGAGAAGCTTGATCAGCCATTTTGAGATAGGTTGAGTATTGAAAGGTGAGAGAAGAAGGGGATCGAGCTCACTTAATTTATAGTAGGTCGGTCACGAGGTTGAGTCACTGGGTATTTCCGAAGTGAGAGGGGACCCAGAGGATGTTGCTGCATGATAACGAAATTTTTTGGTGGATCTGTTACTTAGTGAGGGTAGTGAGCGGGCTATAGATCGATAATATTAACTAAAACTGGAATCATATTGGCACCTGCAAATGGATGTTCAAGTAACGTTCAGTTTCTATCCAACATAATTTCCCCCCATATTAGATGTCAATTTGAGTCCATCAAGAATGGTTTTTATTATGTTACGGGTAATTTAAATCCTAATTTTTAAATATGATATGCAATTCATCAACTAGAGTTTCTATTCACTATGCCTAGTATTAAGATAAGAATTTGTTTATTCTATTGAATATGTGGATAGCAACTATAATTCTTAGTCTCTGCAAATGTCACGCGCCAGGCCCGCGGGCTTATTGGCGCGTGCAAGTCGTGGCACCCACTAAGTATAACGCTGACTTAATCCACTGTCAAAATTGACTAGCTGATGTTACACTTGAACTACAACAATTACATTATAAACACTCAACACTTTCACAATCACCTCCACCTTAATATTACGTGATGACCTCATCGCGACATGACAATTAACACATCTTAGTATCACCGCCAAGCGATGTGGACTATGGAGGTGACTTCTACGAGTTTTAGAGGTGGCTCTTACCACATCCATGCGGTGTAACACTTGTTGGAAATTGTGGTTAAATCTGGAATTAAACAGTGAAAGATGATATGCTATAATTTTAAACTTTTTCAAGTTAACTGTTGTGCGTTTGTGAAACGCTGTGCTTAAAGCAATATTTGACCTACTCCGGTGTAAGGATCCTAAGGCAAAACTGTTTCCAGGAACATGCGAACCTCGTTTGACGAGCGAACCTCGTCGAACGGGCAAACCTCGTTTGACGAGCGAACCTCCGCAAACAGGCGAACATCGTTTGACGAACGAACCTCGTCGAATAGGCGAACCTCGTTTGACGAGCGAACCTCATTTGACGAACGAACCTTGTCTGATCTTGTGAATCAGACAAACCTCGACGAACCTCGTCTGATTGCGAGAACGTTACGATCACACCCTCATGCGAATGCGTAGCTCATCCACATGCTGCGAAGCAACCTGCGAGGCGTCACCTCGCCCCGATGCATCTGTGCGAAGTGCAAAGTGCGCCTAACAAAGCGTCACTTAGCGCCTTAGCCCGATTAGCCCCGATCCCCGGCCCATTGGCCTACGGCTCACGAGCCCACGAGCCCGACGACCCACGACCCACTAGAACTTATGAGGGATAAATTAAAATAAAACACTTCTCGGCTTGCATTTTGGAAAGCGGTTTTGACCAAAAAAAAAATCCAACAACACTTAATTCCACATAACACTTAGCTCCACACTTCCGGCCGGGTAACTGCTCTGATACCATTTTGTCACAGCCCTAATTTCTCAAACCTAAAATAAATATTAGAGTTAGACTAAACATGTGAAATATATTTCAAAATCTACAATCATCGAAAGGCCCCCAAAATAATATATTTTCGGGTTTTAGTAATCTTGGTTCACATTTTTTTTCGGTGGAAAGCCGCATGCAGCTTCTCAGGTGGCTGCCACACTTTGGTTGGTTTAGGGGCTGTTTGTTTCACCCTTTTATAGAATAGGATTAGTATTTGGGCTCTGACAGTGGCATTTTCGTAATTTTTGGATTCTTTGTGAATCCTATTCTGGAGTTTGGCTCAGCAAAAATTTTGGGATTACAATTTCTATAAAGTAGCTACAGTTGTCGTTTTTTATAGAAACCCAAATCCGAGCTTTGGGTTCGGATTTGGGCGAGATTTCTGACAGTGAGCTATGTCGTCGATTCTGATTCCTCATCTTCACGATTTCGATCCCTAGATCTGGAATCGCTGTGCCGCTCCCGCCTCAATCGCCCTCTTCTTCGCGCCTCTGCTCCCGCGCTTCGTCTTCTTCAACTTGGGTTCGGGCCTCTTTCTCGAAACCCTAGCTCTGTTTTCCACGAGCTTGTTGGTGGGTTTCTTGCCTTCGATTCTTGGTGATCCCTTCTGGTTGGGATCTTCTTCAACTTGGGTTCGGGCCTCTTTCTCGATCTTGTTCTGGTTGGAGTGTGGCTACATTGTTTTCTTTGACGTTGGTGGGTTTTTTGCTGGAACGTCGGCATTTCCCCCCTCTGCAGTAAGGTATAAAAATTTCCCCCTCTTACTTTGGCTTATTTTTCTAGTGATTTGAGGAATTAAATTTAATTTTGAAGCATATGAGAAATAGAGGCTGATAGCAATTTCAATGATTTGTTCGATTTATTTCATAATATTACAACAAAACAATTCATGCGGGTATCTGTGTAGTGGATTTTTTGTAAATGTGCAAGAATTAGGTTGTTAGGTGGATTAATTTCATGCGGGTATCTGTGTAGAGATTAATTTCATAATATGTTTCAAATCAGTCTTTTAATAACTTAAATTGTTGTTTTTTTTACTTTATTTAATTTTTTTGTGTGCGTGTAAATTATTAGTAATCTAACCATATAGTTTGTTTGTTTTGGGTCTATCTTGCTTGTTTAGAATTGTGTGAGATGGAATGCAACATTAGTTAAAATAATTTATTATTGCAATTAGATTTCTTGCTTTAAAAGAAATAAATATTTGTATCAATTATCTACTTAATTTTGACAAGCAATAAGTAGTCATCTTAAGCTGTAACTGTATGATAATTTTAAAACGGGCTCCGAGTTTACGATGGTATTCATTCTCACTTGTGCACATTATGAATAATATATTAAATACTTGGCAATATTTGAGATTTTAAAATACTGTTTAATTAATGTAGGTAAATATTACCTATGTGACGTTGGATACACCACAATGCCAGGTTTCATATCCCCGTATCGCGGTGTCCGATATCATTTAAAAGAGCACACCAGTAGGACACCAAAGAATAGGAATGAGTTGTTCAATTTAAGGCATTCATCTTTAAGATCAAAAATTGAGTGCACATTTGGGATACTGAAGAATCGGTTTAAAATTCTTGCGGGGAAGCCGAATTATCCATTTCCCACTCAAGTGGACATTGTACTAGCGTGTACTGTGTTGCACAACTTTATTGCCTTGGAGGATCCGGATGATGATATTTTAAATGAAAATGTTGAAATTGATGAAGATACTGGGGAAGAGACAAATGAGGACGAATCAAATGTGATGGACTATACTCAAAGTAGGACACAAAGAGAGGATCGAGATGTTAGAAATGAATGGAAGGAGTTACGAGATCAAATTGCTTGGGCGATGTGGGTGGATTATTGTGCAAAGTACAATGGTGGTAACACAATGGAGAGCGGTTTAACTTAGTGTAGCATCTGTTCTATGGCTATGTAATAACTTGGTGAATTTTAACATACTGTTCGCATCGATATCTTTTATTGTTTCTAAGCCATTTGTAACAAACCATTACTACTTTTATCACTTGCTATTTTGTTATGTTGTTTGAACTAGAAATTACATCGTTTACTATATTCCCTGCTAAATGCATACATATCCCATATTCTATAAATTTCTTTATTGTTAATATGGCTATGCTTACAAAATATATTAGGTATGGCTAACAATCCGGCAGATAAGCAAAGCGTGCCTTCTCATTCGAATGCAATGCCAAGTCCTACATCAGGGATTAACATGAACTACATGCCTGTTCGACCACAGCCATTCACCTCACCTCCGCATACTTTCTCACCATTCCCACCATGGGATGGTAATTATGGTGGGATGACACAGCCGCCAATGTCATACATGAGCTTGTTAGGCAGTCCACAAGGTTTGATGTTTCCCACAGCCAGTTCTCAAAGTAGTGGACCTAATCAATTTTCACCAAACACCGGTGATTCAGTTGGAAAGGATATTCATGACGTTGATGGTGCGGAGCACACTTCGCCATTGAAAAGAGGGAAAAGATTAGCCCATAAAAATAAGGTTCCGTGTGCCAGGTTGAACTCAAGAGGCGTGGCTAATAAGTTTTGGCTTCCAGAGCACGATGATGTGCTTATTCCTTATCTTGCAGATTTAGCATTGGATGGCATGAAGCCAGACAAGAACTTCAAGGCTGAAGCTTATAAAATGGCTGCCATGAAAATCAACATGCAATTCAGGACTGATTTCACTCACCTGCATGTCATTAACCACTTGAAATGTTTGCGGAACAAATTCAATGACATGAAAGCTTGCCTTGATATAAGTGGTTCTAGGTGGGATGAAACAAGTAAAATGATTACATTGGATGAGGAAACCTTGAAATCTTGGGCCCAGGTATAACAATTCAGCATCTATCTTGTCACATTCAATTTAATACATTTGATTCTCTGGATTTATAAGTATTTATTATTGCAGGACAAATCCAATTCTAAGTACAAAGCATACATAAACAAACCCCTTCCTCACTTCAAAAATTTACAAGTTATCATGGGTGATGATCAAGCCAAGGGTGATTTTGTTAGACCCGTGTACGCTAACATTGGGTCTAGCAGGTCCATACCTATCCCCGATGATGATTGCGAGATTCTAGAGGAGAGTGAAGCTGAACCACAGTCTGATGCTTGCAACGCACCACGTTCTGGTGCTGTTAACCAACCACAACCCACTAGATATAAGACTAAGAGTAAAGACAACACGACTTCATCATCTAGCAAAAAAACCAGAAAATCTAATCGTGAAGAGGAAATGCTATGTGCCTTTGTTGAGTCCATGTCTCAGTCAATGAGAAATCAACACGTTATACACTGGACTGAGCAGTTGGCCACAGCGTTGAAGGAACATAGGTCTGAATATTCCGAGGAGTTCCTCGATAGGGTTTTAGACCATTTATATGACAATGAACGTGAAGCTAGGAGGTTTTTCATAAAATCCAAGGAAGGTCAGCAGAGGTACATCACAAAATTAGTTAACGACCAAGGTTGGCCGGATAGCTAGTTTGTTGGGTTTCGATTATAATTTGATGGATATTGTTGTGTTAATTGCAAACTATTAATGTTGCAATATATATTTTTATTATGAAGAACATCTATGTCGTTGTGGGATTGATGAATTGGTATATTTGCAATCTTTGTTGCAGGTAAGGTCGTGGAATGATCATTGATTTCTTTGAATTTTCCGATTATATTTTGATATCAGGTAAGCTTTCTGCAGCTCATGCTGATACTTGAAATGTTTGGGTGAGCTCATGTTTTGAGCTTTCTGCAACTCATGCTGCTGCTGGTTGCTGGTTTGTGCATGTTTTAAGTTTTCTGCAGCATTTGCTGCTGCTGGTTGCTTTGTGCAGCATTTGCTGCTGCTGGTTGCTGGTTTGTGCCTGTTTTGAGTTTTCTGCAGCAGTTGCTGCTGCTGGTTGCTTTGTGCAGCATTTGCTGCTGCTGGTTGTTGGTTTGTGCCTGTTTTGAGGTTTGTGCATGTTTGCTGCTGCTGCTGGTTGGTTTGTGCTTGTTTTGAGCATTTTGTTTTTCAGGCTGATGCTGGGGTTGTGGGTTACTTGCTGGTTGGTGCTGTTTTGTTTGAGCTTTTGTTGCTTGTTTTGGTTTTAATTGCCTGTGGGTTACTTGCTGTTATGGTTTGCCTTGCCTGTGGTTTTCCTTGCACTTGATATGTGGCAATGATGATGATCAACGTTTACTGAGAATGCAACCTAACTTACCTCGTTTATTATATCCAGATGAGGCAATATTTGAGATGAGATTGCAGCCTACATTGAATTGGCAATGTCTAGGCGAGGCAATTCATCCTTATAATGCAATCTGTAATAAACATGTTTAAGTTATAGGTGGGGCAATCAATGATGACAAGTTGATATATTTCTGAGCCATACAATATCAATTAGAATTTGTAATGTCTAGGCGAGGCAATTCATCTTTATAATGCAATCTGTAATAAACATGTTTAAGTTATAGGTGGGGTAATCAATGATGACAAGTTGATCTATTACCGAGCCATATAATATCAATAAGAATTTGTACCCAGTTCAAACAACAGTTTTCATTACATTCTCAGTAGTTTTTGCAAGTACAGGTACATGACATGAAGTTTGTAATAATTAAAATAACATAAAAAATTGATTGCATTCTTTATTTGGGAATTTTGCACACCCCCAATAACACCTACCCTTATTTTTACCATTCTTGCACACTTTCATCGGTGTTCGGAGATGGCAGTCGCAATAAACTTCATAATCCTGCCAGCACTCTTCTGATATCATTTTCATGTTGGGGCAGCAAATTGAAGACAATGGGAATTTTATAAATGCTGAAATTGAGAATGTTTGGATTAATTGTGAGGCCTCAAGGTGAATTTATAGCCACCATGTTCCACTTCTAGCCGTTGCTACAGTGTCCTGACTAAGAATTTTAAAATCTAAATTTTTTGAGGCTGAAAAGAGCCGTTGCTACAGTGATTCCAGCACAAAATATGAAATTATGCCTCTTCTAGCCGTTGCTACAGGAATATTTAAATTGATAAAGAGGCTGCTGTTGCTACAGTGTTTATTCCCAAAAAAAGAGACTTTTTGAAGCAAACATGGTATTAGGAATTGATTCCAATTCTATAAATGTTAGATTCCTAATCCTTTGGGAGAAACAAACATAGAATGCCAAAAAAATAGGATTCCATAAAACTTCAACTTGTCTATAAAAATTTTATGGATTAGGTTGGAATCCATAAATAAAATAGGATTCCTAATCCTATTCCTACATTCTATTGAACCAAACAGCCCCTTACTTAATCTTTTTTCCCCTTTATATATTATGTGCTAATATTTTTTTAAAATCCCTCATCAAATTATCTTTTGCAGAAAGCTCCTTAACAAATATAAATATGTTATCATAGTTATCGTTTTCTTTCTTTGCATAAAAGTCCTCTTACAAGCTCATTTATAAAATAATATAGTTAATCCAATTGTTAGAATATCTATTAAAATAATTAGTAATATAAAATAAGGGATATTAAATATGATAGATTTTCTTTGATGAGAATTCACCCAACCTAAGATCGCAGCAACAAGAAAAAAATAGTCTTTATTAAGACCGCATCAATTGATCCACCCGAAGCATTAAAACGGGCTGTGTAGGCTAAAACAATTGATTCAAGAGATTAAGTTCTCTTTTAGGTTTGATCTAGGATTGAGTGATTAAGAGATCTCTATATTGTATACCTCATAATTTAGTAAAGTTATTCTTCTCATTCGCATATGAACGTAGGCTATAAGTCGAATCATGTATATCTTGTGTTATTTATCTTCTCGATATTTATTTGTTCCTACGTGTGATTGATATTATTATATCCTGGAGATTTATCATAACAATTATTGTACTGATCCAAATTTGATTCTGCCTTGTCAGCAAGAAGGGAAGCGGAAGTGAGCTAGTACCAAAACAATGTGCAGTTGCTGCTAATGGCCTAATGCCAGCTTTTATTTTGTCTGATTAGATGGAGAGCTAGGATGTCCGAACATTGGTTGGTAAAGAAACACTAAAGTATTGCCCACGCGTGTTGCGTTCTCTCGTCTAGTTGTGTGCTGTATTAATATACAACATGCTCTAAAACATGCGTGTTGAGTCTTCTTGCTATTTTTGGTCATTTTTCCTGAGCCTAACCTGTCCTCATGTTGAACAGTGCTTGATTTCTCTTGTGAGCGTACCAATCGCATGCCATGGGCACCTTGTATTTCATTAATTAAATGTTTAATATAACAATTCAGAAGATGACGATGAACTAATGTCAAATCTCACACAGAAATACACTTGATGACTATAGTCTAAAAAGCCAATTTGCTCCCTATACTGGAGCTTTATTGTCAAATTGGTCCGCTTATTTTTTCTCAACTTCATTTTTTATTAATGACCACATTACCCTCAATCCTTGTACTTTTGATTTCTATTAGATTTTATGCACGTGCAATGCATGTGGTTAAACATTGTTATTAGGCATTTTTGGTTTATTTTCTTACTAAAATTTATTTCTTGGTTACACTTTGATATAATAACATTTTAAACAAAAACCAATTCACTCAACATCTCAGCTAGATATACACGTAGACCGGTTGCTTCCAATGAACAAAGCATAATCACACAGTCCTTTTCCATGGGGCTTGAAGACAAAACAATTTTTTTATAAATTTCTTCGGGCGAGGAGCTAGGGGGAAACTCTAGTATAGTAGAGATTTGAGGGAGTCGGGTTTGTGATTGAGTGATGGGATTGAGAAAGGAGAGAATGAGAAAGGAGACGAGGAAGGAAGATGGGGAAGGAGAGAATGAGAAAAGAGGAAGGAGGATCGCCGGGAATTGGAGGATCATCGAGGAGGAGAGATTGAGTCG